GATTTATTCGAAAAAGCTAGATAAAGTATATTGTTTTTGTTGCAAGTTATTGAGAGCTAAGTCTAATCCAAGCAAAAGTGCATTAGCTATTGATGGGTATAATGATTGGAAACATTTAGGTGTGAGGCTAAAAGAGCATGAAAATAGTCTTGAGCATATGAATAATATGAAATCTTGGACTGAATTAAGAGTTAGATTAAATACAAATCAAACCATCGATAAAGATTTACAACAACAATTTTTAAAAGAAAAAGAACGCTGGAGGAATGTTTTAATAAGAATAATTGATGTTGTGAAATGTCTTGCTAAATATTGTTTGCCTTTTCGTGGATCTAATGAAAAACATTACCAAGATAGTAATGGAAATTTTTTGGGATTAATTGAGATGATTGCTGAATTTGATGTTATAATGCAAGATCACATTAGACGCATTCAGAATCATGAAATTCACTACAACTATCTTGGTAAAAAAATTCAAAATGAACTGATTTCTCTCTTAGCTCATAGTATTAAAAACTCCATCATAAGGATTATCAAAGATGCTAAATATTTTTCAGTAATTCTTGACTGTACCCCTGATATGAGCCATCAAGAGCAAATGAGTTTAGTGATACGATGTGTGAATATTACTGGTGATAAAATTAAAATTGAAGAATTTTTCTTGGAATTTTTGAAAGTAGATGATACATCTGGTTTGGGCCTTTTCAATGAGTTACTAAATGTACTTGAATGTTTTGGTCTTAATTTTGATGATGTGAGGGGTCAAGGTTATGATAATGGTTCAAATATGAAAGGGAAGCATCAAGGGGTTCAAAATCGGTTACTCAAAATAAATCCTAGAGCTTTATATATGCCTTGTGCTTGTCATAGTCTAAATCTTGCTCTTGGTGATATGGCTCATTCTTGTGTTAAAGTTGTTTCATTTTTTGGAATTGTTCAACGCATATATACTCTATTTTCAAGTTCTACCAAAAGATGGAAGATTTTACTTGATAATGTCTCAAATCTAACTGTAAAATCCTTGTGTAATACACGATGGGAGAGTAGAATAAAAAGTATCAAAGCTATTAGATTTCAAGCTCCCCAAATAAGACAAGCTTTGTTTGAATTATCCGAATCGTGTGATGATGCCAAGACCAAAAGTGAAGCAGAAAGCCTGGTAAGTGCATTTGAAAGCTTTGAATTTATATTGGGCATGGTTATTTGGTATGATGTTCTATTTGCTATTAATATGGTGAGTAAAAAACTGCAATCTAAGTCTATGTGGATCACTACTACTATGAAACAAATTGAAGGTGTGGTGCTATTTTTTGAGAAATTTAGGAATGAAGGATTTCTTTCTAGTATGAATATCGCCAAAGACATTGCATGTGAGATGAATGTGGAGCCCATATTTCCGACTCGCCGGCGAATAATTAGGAAAAAGCAATTTGATGAAAATGAAACCCAATTACAATTTGAAGAAGAATCTTTTAGAGTTAATTATTTTCTAATGGTTGTGGATATGGCAGTATCTTCTTTGAATAATAGATTTGAGCAGTTGAAGATATTCGATGGTATTTTTGGATTCCTATACAACTCTGAAAAGTTGAAGTCATTTAATGCTACTGAGTTGAGAGAATGTTGTATTAATTTTGCCAATTTTTTTCTCATGATAATGTGAAGGATGTTGATTTGGATGACTTTTTTTCTGAACTTAAAGTATTGCAAATGACTTTGCCTGATACTTCAATGTGTGCAATGGAAATTCTTGAGTTTGTTAAAGCTGCAGATTGTTATCCAAATGTCTCTATTGCTTATCGAATTCTACTAACAGCACCGATGACTGTAGCATCGACAGAGAGGAGCTTTTCAAAGCTGAAATTATTAAAGACATATCTGAGATCTTCAATGTCTCAAGAAAGATTGAATGGCTTGGCGCTTTTATGTATTGAGAAGGAGAAGCTGGATAATATTGACCTTGACTCTATCATAAATGATTTTGCATCTAAGAACGCTCGACGTAATTGTTTTTTGTAGTTTTTTGTCTGAACTATGATGTACCATGCTTTATGAAATGAGCTTTGTGCCTTTGTTTTTGTAATACAATTCATTTTTCACCTTTATAATTTTAAGGGCGGAAGGGCCCATTCCTGGGTCTTCAAAATGTCAGGACCGGCCCTGAGACCGCGGTTCCAAGACCGCGTTTGCCCACCCCTAATTCAGGCTATGCCAAAACTCAAGCACAAAACTCAAATTGCCAGCATAAACTTTAGTACAGTTACTGTGAATCTTCACATCAACCAAAGAATACTCTAAGACAACTATACTTCACAATAGTTCTTTTTGGCAACATTTCCAAATCAACTTAATTACATCTTATCCTAGAGTTTCATATTCCTATGTTCATTGTTTAATATATAAAATGGATAGAGTACATCGAACTTCGAAAAATATTGGAGAGTTTTCAAAGAATTTCCGGGAGTTTCCGAAACGGGAAACGTACTCTTTCCCGAGAGTTTCCGTGCTACACATGATCGAAGTACAAAAAAATATACTGCCCTAAAGCTGATGAAGTGTCCCAAACCCACAATTTTAAATAGTACGCCCTAGAGCTGATCATAGGTGTAACTAGTAATTAGAATTCTTTTGCTCCCAGGAAGTGTACTACATTGTAACCTCATAGGGTTGAGGCAGACATACTTTACTATATTTTCATAATTTATGCAAGGAATAGCCGAAACACAGCTTACAAATGATTAAAAATAATAATGCAATGCACATTCTTAAAATAAAACTTGAAAGAATGGCTGAAATATTACATATGGACTTTGAGTGGACAAAAATATGACCACTTTAGACTTGGACAAAAATGTGACCTTTTTCTAAAACCCAGGCCCAATCCATCGCTCTCTTCTCTGCGCCTAACTTCATCGCCCAAACATCATCTTCTCTGCGTGTTACTTCATCGCCCAAACACGGATGAACTCAACCTTCCCTCATTGTCCTAGCGGCGTCAAACTCAGACGCCCTCCTCCGAGCAGCAAATCGTCCCCGTCGTTCTCGCACAGGTCTTCGCCGCCGTCGCCCTCCGCGGACAGAGGAACGAAGCATCTCCGCCGTCCTCAAACTGGTTTTCGCCGCCATCCTGGTCGCCGCTATCCTCTCATTCCGAACTTCGTCTCTTTCTTCTCTTTCTGTTGGTGGCGTTGAATATCACCAGATCTAAATCCGATCTAACGATGACGGTTGTGAAGGAGATAGATCCTTTGTGGAAGCGGCGGCTAGGTTTCGGCCATGCGGCGGTGGCGTCGAGGGGAAATGGTGTCGGGTCGGGGTTAGATCGGAGTTGGGAAGGGTTGGATCGGGGGCTGGTCGAGCTGGTCGGAACTGGAGCAGGGTAGGTGGCTGAGGCGGGTCAGGGGGCGGGTCAGGTGGTGGGTCGGGATCTGGGCAGGGGCGTGGGGATGGGGAGGGGTAGGGGCAGTAGCTGGTTTGGGCACTGGATGAAGCGGTGGGTGGTTATGATTGGTGGTGCCGGCGGTGTCAGGTGTCACTGAACGGTGGTGGCGTCACTTTGACGGCGTCATTGTGGTAACGTCACTATGGCGGCGTCACTGTGGCAGCGTCACTATGACGATGTCACTGTGGTGGTGGTGGTGGCGGCGGTGTAATTGGCGTGAAAAATTTGTCGATGACGGTCTCACAGTGACATAATTTTTTTTGCAGTGACATCATGTTTTTTATTCCACATATATGACCTTGTTAATCACTTTTTTGTCAATTTTAAAAGTACTCACATTTTTTTGAAAATCAATTTAATTTAGTAATATTAAGGCCTTAAGGGCATAACCCCATAAAACTTTCACAAAAGATTATTTAAAGTCCGGTAATACCAAAACATGACAGTAATTATTCCTATTTATTTAACGATCAAAACAGAGTAGTCCTATTGTAGAATTCATACAACAACTATTTACTGCAATTTCTTGTTTTTCTTAGCACCTTACAGTAATGAGTATAGTTTCAATTCAATAGAAGTTCATCATCCGCCAGAAATTCAACACCTTACAGCAAGGTTGTCAAAATCGAGAACATAATCGCAATCGAGAACACCTTACAATTCAAAACCGCCCAACTGATTCAACTCATATACAAAATCGTTTTTACTCAAAATCGGGAAACAATCGCAATTGAGTTGTTAAAATCACTAAACTTTACGATTTGAATGTCAAGCAAAGCTCAACTCTATCAGGCCTAGATCAAGGCCTGACGACATAGTATAGGCTAGGAGCCTTTGTCGCTGATACGTCCAGTGAAGGAGAACATAATTTATAAGAGTACAGAGAGGCGGAATATCTTTCTTCATCCGGTGTGGGATGCATAATAATTGAGAGGAAGAACAAAATTGAAGAGTAAAATTTCGGCCATCGTTGTTGAAGCCTTCAATGGATTCGAACCCACGTGTAAAGCTTACCTAGCGCCTCAGCTTTATCAAAGAACTAACAACAGATATTTTGAACAACATAACTAAAACTCCGTAACTCCTATTCATTAGAGCTTAGACTTAAACTTTTGTTAACTAATTAGGATGTTTTTATTACTTGGTCTGGTCTAGTAAATTTTGGTTCATGTGTATTTTAAAACCGTCTAAGTTTGGTATGATCTCGTGTGATCTGGGACCGAAAACATGAACTTTTATTAACACAAGATTGTAAAAGTAATACTTCTTGTTTGACTTACAAATGTTAAATTTATTGTTTCCTTTTATCTAATATTCTAAATATTTTTATTTTTACTTTATATAAAATCTTGCGATTTACGATTCGATTTAACGATTCGATTTTTAAATCTCTGTACCGATTCGATTCAAATATACGATTTTAACAACCTTGCCTTAAGGTTGTGTTTTTCATTTTTAAATTCTGTTGGATCTCATCAAAACAAAAGGTAATCATCAAAATTTCATACCTAAACTCACTCTCCACAGCTGAACATGGGTAAGCAATACACATCATGCCATAGTAACACTAATCGTGCAATTAAGAACCCACATTCAAAGTAAAGCTACACGAAAAACTTCACCTGCTGTGTCTCTTTCTGCAAAACCATGTAAGCAAACAGAAAATTGATTACAGAAATATCAAAATGCATTGCGAACAAAACTAAACCAGCAAAGAGTCGAAGCACAACAAGCAGTTTGTATTAATTTCCACGGAGAAAAACCGAGTATATTGTTACTAGATGGTGGCATTCCTCTGAAGAACTTTGGCCTTCTCTGCATCAATGATGGCCTCCACCAACTTTACCGCACCATCCAACTCTCCCTCTCTATTCACAATAACATAATCAAAGCTCCTCATATGCCTAACCTCCTCCCTAGCTGTTGCAACCCGCACCAGCAAAGTCTCCTTAGTCTCTGTCTTCCTCTCAATCAATCTCTTTACCAATGCTTCCTCACTCTCTGCAACTAAGAACACAAACACTGCTCCATTTCCCAGAATCTTCCTCAAAGTTGCCGCTCCTTGTATATCTACTCTCAAGACAATATCAAAACCTTTCCCCAAATAATCCCTTATTTGTTGTTTAGGAATACCCTTATAATCTCCATAAACCAAAGCATACTCCAAAAGCTCGTTTTTTGCAATCATGGACAGAAATTCATCTTTGCTGACGAAGTAGTAATCCTTACCGTCGACCTCACCGGCCCGTTTCTGACGGCTCGTGGCCGTGACGACGAAATGGATGTTCTGTTTGACTTCTCGCAGACGTTTAATCACTACATCTTTGCCGACGCCACTGGGCCCGCTGATCACGATGATGAGAGAGTTAGGGTTCGGAGCTATGGGAGAAGAACTGAATGGGGAACCTAGAGCGGCCTCGAGTGCCCGATACACCTCGTTTTTATCGGCCGTGAGGGGCGAAGGAATAGGAACCGCTTCCGATCTTCTGGCGTAACTCATGCGCGGAGTTGAAGAAATGAGGCGGCGAATCGCCGGATTTGGCGCCTGAAACCTCCGGTTCAGAACAGCATAAGGAATAGTGAATTTCCGGTTAGGGTTAGAGTTTACTAGAATTGTGCAGAGCCATCGCTGTAGCATCGATACCTTTTGGGAGCGGAAAGGAAATTAGAAATTTAGGAAAGAAATTTATATGAAACGATGGAGAATAGTTCCTGATTAAACGGTAAACCGGAACTTGATAGGGAAGGTAATCTCGCCGGCCGCCGCCGTTTCCTATCAAATAGACCGACCCGTACAAAGGCTGGGTTTTAGCATTTCAGGCCCAACTTCTTTTACCATTTTTATGGGCTAAATCAACTCAAATAGTCCACATATTGTGCATGTGTACACTAGCAACTTTAACAACCTAATGAAACTAGAAAAAATCTAAAGGTACACGCTTTGTGTACACACTCTTACACACTTGTGTCTGTGTAAGCGTTTTTTTGTCTGTTTCAGACAAAATGTATTTGACAAATTCATTTTGTCAGGGACAGACAAAAAAAACGCCTACACAGACACGAGTGTGTAAGGATGTTTTTACTTCGACTGTAATTTGCTGGTCTGGTATGGTCTGGTCTGGTCTGGTTTCTTTGTATTTTTATAACTATCCAAGTCTGGTCTGGTCTGGTCTGGTCTTGTCTACTCTGGTCTGGTCTTATCTGGTCTAGGAGGAATTACAGTCCAATTAAAAAATCCTAAGAGTGTGTACACAAAATGTGTACCCCAAGTCCAATTCATGAAAGTATGAAACTAGGTTTGTACAACCATTTTGAACTAAATTTAATCAATTCAGACAATTTATTCACGCATTGTTGCGATCAAGAGATGAAACCGTAATAGCTTTAGCGTTTGAGTTCAATTATTTGATGTATCTAATGCTTGTATCAAATTTATCCTCTCATTATTCAAAGTTTATCTTGTTTCTAATAAAAACAGTTTATCTTGTGTCTATTAAAACATATGCTTTTATAATACATTTACGTTTTCTTTTATTATTTCAGTTGTATAACCAAATAGGTCTAATTTATTTAGCTAGTATTTTAATTTCATCAACTTTTATTTATATCTATACATTAGAATGCAGAACCATTATAAAAGGAGAAAGGAAAAGGTTGCACAGATAAGAAGCAATTAATGTACTCGACTTTCTTGTGCGGGGAAAAAGGGTAATCAATTCAGAAAGAAGATTGAAGACGAGTAGGTAAGAGCATCTTTAATGGGGGTGTGAATTGTCCTCGATAAAAAATGCACGTAACACTAATATGAACAGCCATGAAGCTGACGTGGAAACAAACCCAATCAAAATAAAAAAGTATCTCCAATGCAACCATGAGTTTTCTATTCTTACACAAGAGTGACTTCTTCTCCAAAGCATTAACCTGAGAACACATCAGTACTTCATGTCCCACTTAAATTGTAGCATGTTATGTCACTACTCCCACTTTAATTTGAGAATTCCGGTACGATGCATCGACTTCTATAGCGAGCGGCAGTGGCAGAAGAATGAAGGCGGAGCCATAGGGTTTGTGGTTGCGCCGCCGGTCAAATAAGAGATGAATTGGTAGGAGTGGCCTGTTGTTCGTCGAAGTAGTATTCTTTTAGAATACGAATAACGAAATGGACACAAACCATGCAACGGTCTCAAACAAAGCAGAGACAATAAGGGATGTGACACCAGTAAGGAAGAGTGGAAGATGATGAATAGGGTAAACACAATGAGGTTGGCGAGGATTCCAAAATCGAAGAACTCACAGCCAAAGGAGAGGACGAGAGGTTGATTCGCAGAGTGAAAGAAGTTGAGGAAGAGCCAACCGGCGAGGAGATGCCCAGAAAGTCTTTCAACTCCCTGAGTGCTTCAGAAGATGCAAATGATTATGATAATTATATTCTTTGGCACCTTTGTCTGTAGCCTGTAGGAGTAGGACTGGATATAATTTTTGCTAAGTCATCCTATCTAAACGGGCAGTTTTTAATTCCAACTCAGCCCCACAGAAAATGTAAACTACTCCTTTGGGGAGTATATTTAACATTTTAACCCAATGTCTATTATATGTATGCGGCAATTCATTTTTTATTAATCCATTGCCTCATTAACGATGCTCTAAGCAGTAAGCACCTATGAAGCTAGGCAATTTCACAAACTTTTCTTTTTAAGAATGTAATATGATGTAATATGATTTTCTTTTAGCTAATTTGGCAGTTATGTTGATCGACACATGTACACTTGTAAATTAACTTGAATCCTGTTCTTGCTCGTTCGCCATCTAATACCCTGAAATTTGAGCATATTTAAAAGGTTGAGCACTTGTTGGGTGATTTCTTTGTACGGAGACCTACTTGACATGTACATTATAGTAAAAGCGTCTAAGAGTTCTCGCCTCGTTATGCAAGAACTGTAGAAAACATAAAAAGAACTGTATTATATAACAAGACAACCTAATAAAAAGAGCGATGGCCATGCAATTTTCAAATATATTTCAAGATATGTAATGCTAAAAAAGTCCAAGAATCATGATGATGAGTATACTCTGATAAGTCTGATTGGGCCACTGAGGTATACATTTTAAGAAAAATAAAAAACTTTTGGAGATATCATTAGGTAAAGAGTTAGAAGGCGAAAAGCAGCACGTTAGGAGGAGGAGAATAAGCCCATCCCCTCCCTAGAGAAACAACGAGGTGAATGAGTTCTGAAATCACAAGGCAACGACAACTTCCAAAGATGAGATGCATCCATCAATGGCAGTAAGCAGCTAGCGATGATCTTTACCGCTAAGAGCAAGACTCCTACACACAACAAAACACATTGTCTGTCAAGCATTGTTTACAGTTAGATGTATAATATCATACAGAGTTGAGATTGTTGCTAAGTAAATATCAAGTAAAAAATTTATATTGCAAAACAAAGATATATTCAGTTCAATGTGCTCCACATATTTTGGCTAACATGAATCCATATAGCAAACTATCACCCCAAAAAGAAAAAGAGCAAGTCTCACCAAGTCACAGGATTTTGGATTTAGTAAAGTACAATACTCCGTAACTGGCAACCATCAACTTGGCTATATTTTAAAATATTTAAAGTTTACTTGTTGGTTTAACTAAATTTCAAACACATGCCTTTCTTGACACTTAATTTTCGTATTTTTCTTGGAAAAAACATTAATTAAATATAATGAAAGTTAACACCTTTTGTTCAATTTGGACTTCTATGTTTTGGGACAAAAAGTTTACAAAGCAAGTTTTTTGGATGGAGGAAGTGCAAATACATCAACATAACACCCAAATCCTCAATTGTTTAAACTAGAGTAAACACCTATATGATGCAGCAGCATTCATGATTTCCTTGAACCATTCATGATTTCCTTGAACTATTAATTGTACAACTCACATTTCACAGATGAAACATATCACAGAAACTCAAAAACTGAGTATGCTGTAGTGCCAAATGCCAATCACTATGAATTATACTCTTGAAAACACAAAAAATAGACTAGAGGTGAAGAAGTCGTACACAAAAGATCATGGCAAAAGCAAGATAACATTGACAGTTTTAGTGCAGAGATCTGCATTACAGATTACGGAGTACTTTTTACAATTAATAGTTGTTTATAAGTTACAACTCTTCCCAATCTTAGAATATGACAATTACTAGAGAAAACAACCACAACCCCTTGATTGGAGTCAGACAGATCATTTCAAATCCTGTGGATTAATAAACGGCATAGTACAAGTTCATTTATTGTCTCCTAAATGGAGATCATCAAAAATTTAGATTTAAGTATTTAACAATGAACAAATGTCAACAATCCTAGAAACAAAGCAAGGAAATAAATACCATGCATATTAATGGATGGATTAGTAACCTAAGAATCAGACTCAACTCCACACCAAACTTTCTTGAATATCATTAAATTATGTGTATTTTAAAAACATGCAAAATTAAATACTCTATCCGTCCCGAAAAGGTTGGCCAAATTTCCTTTTTTGGAGGTCCCAAAAAGATTTGCCATTTCCATTTAAAGTAAGGAATATGTGGCTGAAATTAATTCTTTCTCCTCTACACAAATTTCAACCACGCAGTTTTTACTTTATTAATCCACGTGAAAGTCAACTTTGGCCAACCTTTTCGGGACGGAGGGAGTATGTCAATTACTTGCAGAAAAGCAGACAGCTATATCAGTGATCACACTGTCAAACACTAGTACTCGCCTGTAATGTTGAAATCAATTAGCTAACTCTTTAAGAATTATGATGTGTGCGTGTGCGGTTTATTTGTAGAATAACCTTAACATGTTGTAATATAATAATAAGTTATTAGCACATCCTCTGCAAATTGTCCAAATAGTATTTTAGAAAACCTCCGAAGAAGTTAACAAATCTATTTTAGAAAGTACGGAGTATTTCAGAAGGTTTTTGAGAAAGTTATATGAGATCTATCATCTATTCCAAACATGAAAAGTCTTTACAAAATTTGAGATCTATTCCAAACATGAAAAGTCTTTACAAAATTTGAGATCTCTTCTCAAACACAGTTAATAAATCTTTTAGAAAATTATTTCAGATCTCTTTCACAATCTATTTAAGTTGTTTGTGAGTTGTTTGTTAAGAGCAGTAAGACTTATAGCCTACGTTTATTTATTGATAAATTAGCATAGAGTTCATGGAATTAGTGACTTTCTAAGTATAAATCTTACCAATTTTTCTTTCTATACATGCAAAGATAATAAATGTAAAGCCAGACCTGGGAACGATATTGGAGTAATTCTTTTGTTACTTGAAGTTTGATAAAATTCAAGAATCTTGGTGGCTATCACATTTATCGGTGATAACTGATAACACGCATTAGTGACGTTGGGAGCCTTTGTGGCACTGGGGTAATGATGATGATGATGAACAAGCATTAGTGAAGCTTTTGTTTAGAGTCAGTAATCAGTATTAATGCTTGTTCATCATTAAGTACGCCCAAAAGAGTAACATGGGAGTACACAAAGATATACTGTAATGATGGATTCTCAAACTTACAATTTTAAATAAGTACGCCCTAAAGTTGATCATAGTTGTAACTTGTAATTAGAACTCTTTTCTTCCAGGAAGTGTACTAGGGTGCAACCTAAAAAGGTTGAGACAGAAATAGTTTACTATATTTTCATTTATTATGTAAGGGATAACCAAAAGTTGAACGTCATTCTTTCAAAACACGGCCTTCAAATGATTAAAAATGTAATGCAATGCACATTCTGGAAATAATATTTCACAATTATCACTTCCCTTCACTAGTCAACTGCTTCAATGATTAAGTAATTTTCCAAAGGTCATTGATATTATATCTATTGAATAATTGATTGACTGTAAACTATTCTTCCAAAGATAAATTAATGCCTATTGAGCGCTTGAGACATTGTCTGTAGGGAGGTCATATTTATACGATAGACTAATAAAGTGCAGGAAGCAACAACAGACCTTCCTAAGGGGCATAGAGAGAATAAAGGAAGAACGAAACAGTCAGCATAAATTTAGTCATGAATACACGTCAGTTAAATGCTGCTTTAAGAAATCTATATTAATTAACAATGGAAAAGCACATAATCTAGACACGAGTTTTTACCCATAAAGGTTTGAGAAACTCCCTCTGAAGCCAAAACATTGTGGAGATATTTTTTCTTACTCGGCACCTTACAGTAATGAATGAATATAGTTTCAGTTCAATAGAAGTTTGTCATCTGCCAGAAATCCAACACCTTACTGTTGCGTTTTTCATTTTAATATTCAGTTGAATCTCATCAAAAGAAAAAGTTATTCATCATATTCATACTGCTAAACCAACTCTCCTTGGCTGAACATCAGTGAGCAATGCACATTATGCCATAGTAACACTAATCGTGCAATCAAAACAATATTCAAAGAAAAGCAACGCCAAAAATTTCACCTGCTGTGTCTCTTTGTTCTAAAGCATGTATGCAAGAAGAAACTTGATAACAGATAAACTATGAACAAAACTAAAGCATCAAAGAGTTGAAGCACAACAAGCAAATGGTATTAAATTTCAAGGAGAAAAATGAACATTTTGTTTCCATTACTTCCTACCAATGGTTCTGTTTTCACTTCCACAAATTTCATTCTCGAAATCAATGGAGAGAGGGTGTGAATGAGAACTGGTAAGAAAAAACTCACTTCTTGTGGCGACGCCCACGCTTGGGACCCCAACCTTCGAGCTTAGCAATAGCGCATCCACATTTAGCCCGGAATAGTAGTACAGCCCGTCCACTTGGTGGCGCCATCTTTCTCAGCTCGGCACGGAGACACTCGTAATCCAGGTTGGTCTCGGTGCCACCTTTCCAAGGCAGCTCATCGATCTCTCTGACAGCCTTACTCCCACCCCCCAATTTCAAACACTCCTCGTCCTGGACCTGCAAATCAAACTCCATCGCTTTCCGAAGTCCCTTGCAGCCAGATTTGCCGCATTTCCGGGATCGGTTGCCGCAGCAGATCTCGAAAGCAATCACCGCCGCGAGAAAGAAGACGAAGAAGAAGCTGAAGAGGACGTAATGGATTTGTATGTCGACGGAACTGAGATGGGAGAAAAGCGCGGAGATGGAGAATGAAGGGGCAAGGAGGGAGATGGATTGGAAGATATAGGAGAAGTAGGAGGAGATCAAGAATGCTCCGGAGAAGAGGACGAGGATGAGGATTAGAATGTCAAGTGTGGCGGAAGGGGAGTGCTTGCAATGGAGGTGGAGGGCGGTGGTGGCGGATGAGTGGCAATTGTTTGAGGAGTTTACATTAGGGTTTGCGCGGACAGAGTGTGAGGGTTTTCTAAGGGGTTTAGAGAGAGAGATTGAGGAGGAAGGTGCCATGGCTATGGAGTAAGAGAGCAGCTGATGGCGCATGTTAGTGAGGAGGAAGTTGGTGTGGGTTCCCGGTGGGGGTGGGGTAGGGATAGGGCGGTAATGATGGGTATTGTGGTTCTCTTCGGTGGAGAGGCGCATCCAATTTGGAGAAGGAAGGTGGTGCGTACGTTAGCAGAACTGTTGTGGATCGATTACAGCGCAGTTTACCGCTTGTCCGTTACGTTTGGAAAAACAATTGAACATGTGGGCTGTGGGCAAACCGGTTAGGTTTGGCCGAAATGAACTATACTGAATCAAACTAAACTAAATCAAAAATTGAATAATTTGTACAAAAATGATTGTTGTACACACATATGCACACACATATGCACACAAATAATTAGCCTAATATTTGATAACATGTTTGTTGAAATGACTCAATGAATTTTGTTGTTTAAATTCATGACATTTACTCTCATTTTTCATTCTTTTCAATTGGATTCAAATGTGGAACTGGTTTGATTACTATAATTGTATACTAGTATGTTTTATTTTTGAAAGGATTAGTTTAACCTTCATAGTAAAGCACTAGCTAGATAGACCTTGAAATTTGGCATGGACTTACCAAAAAAATATACTCAATTAACTTATGCAGATTTTTTTTGAAAGTATAGAAAAACTAGTAGCTTATCTACCAAAAATAGTTATCAATTAATCCGTATTGAGAATTAATAAAAAAAACCAGTAGTTTTTGATAACTGTTACTCTGGTTTTTAGTTAATGCTTATTTCCTGATGAAGCAACTCGCTTAGTTGGTTGTTGAGTCACCCGATTATCCTGGAGGTCAGGAGTTCAATTTCCGCCGGGATAAGTTTGAGCTCTTGTATTCCCTCCCCCCCGAACCCCCCCAACCCCCGATCCCCGACCCCAAGGGCGCCCCCCCCCCCCCCCCCCCCCCCCCCAAAAAAAAAGTTAATGCTTATTTCCTTTATGAATGTTATTATTACCCGTTTCATTTCATTAAAGTTTTACCTTTAATTTTCCATCTCTTTTTTTATTTCATCTTGTTTCTACCTTTTTTTCCTTTTCTTCTTCTTTCTCAAACTTTTTTCATAATTTGAGCCTTCTATACTAAGTAACTCCTGAACTCCCCCAAAAAACAAGAGGTGCAAGTGTGCAACTCACAAAAAAGAAGTGAGATTGAGAATCAATTCATTCACATAAAAAGGAAGGATTTCTTCTATTTCAAAAAATTGTTAGATATACCTTTCCGAATACTTCTTTTTTTAATTAATCCATTATCATTGTGAATAGCTATGATCCTTCTTTTTTGCATTAAAACAACACGTACAAACTATACAAATACTCCAATGTTTGTTATGTTTTAGATATAGTAGTTTTTAGTTATTTTGCAATTGAGACATGGACTCAACTGCAATGGACAACCTGTTCCAATGATTATATTAAAACCATTACTTAAAGCAATCATCCCAAAGAGCTGAAGGTATGATAAGCTATACCTCCCGGTTAGACCCGCTCTGTTAATGCTTATTTCTGACCAGGCTAAGGTTCATGTTAGGAACTTAAGGGTCTGTGTGGGCAGATTTCTGATGGTATGTTTAGTCTAAATCTTGATATATATCTTGGTTTTTTAAAAGTGAAAGAGTAACATAATATGTAATTTATAAAAGAATATGCAATATGAAAAAGAATGGTATCTTATTATGTGTGTTGCACTCCATATAAGAATGATATTCCTGTGTTATATTTCCATTTTTATTCCTAAGTATACCAATTAGTCATATATGTTGTCTACGATTAATATTGTAAATGATTAGATGTCTATTTCCAGTATTCATTTTGTGTGTTCTGTTTTTTATGCTGATAAATCCGTATTTAGACACGCATTTGATGCGTGTTCGGGTTGGATTTTGATGGTTTTCCTAGCTTTAAGGTGTTGCAAGTCTCAATTTTAATTCAAGTCACGATTATCAGGCGTTGGGTCGAGTTTCTTTGCATTTGGAGTTGAATTGAAGAAGTTAGAGTGTGGCAATCAGCGCTTGAGAGGCATTCAGGAAGGATTTGAAGGCATTCGAAGAAGATTTGAGAGATTTGGAGGTCATCGGGAGATTCACGACGAATTCTGATGACGAACGAGTATTTGGATTGACCTCATACATCCGGGAGCGTTTGGAACAAGAAAACGAAGAAAAAGTTAATAATAAGGTCACGCACGGTCGTGCCCGGCGTTAGGCACGCCGTGCGTGCCTAGGAATGAAGCGGATGAGCTACTGGAACCCAGGCATGGTCATGCCTGGCAGGCAGGCACGCCGTGCCTGAAGAGAAACGAGGAACAAGGTACTGGAGGCCAGGCACGGTCGTGCCTGGCAGTTAGGCACGCCGTGCCTGGACGCGTTTAAACGGGATGCTTCCGCAGGCACGGTCACAGGCACGGTCGTGCCTGGCGCCGTGCCTGACCCCGTTTTGTCCTAATTCAGCCCAAATTACCTTGTTTCCTATAAATAACACCCCCATAACCCTAATAAGGGGGGTGGACTTTAGAGAGCTGATTAAGGATGAAAATTAGAGAGCTTTTCAGCCAGGTTTTCCAATTCCTTAACATTCTTTGTAAGTTCCTACTTTTTGATTAATGACAATTATTTCTATTCTTCCCAATTCCGTTGATTCTTCAATTATGAATTGCTAGTAGTTTTAATTAGGGATTTGGGGTTGATGAAGGGGTTTATCATGATGAATGGCTAGTTTCTTGATGGTTTGATTACATGAATGCCGTTTGGTTTGTGTTTGAATAATTTAACTGTTATCTTTTATAATCTGGAACCGCGGCTAGAATTACAATTGCACATAGAATAACTTAAGAGAGATCTAGTTTATTCTAGGACACATTCACACACACTTAATCGTTCACTAAGAGATTAGTAGCGATTAAGGGGCTGTAAGCTCGCTCATCTTGGCAATACTTTAGGATCCTGTCGCATGAGAAATCAGTCTGGTCCCCTAAATTATTGTACTCTACGCCGCGAGAGCGGTAAGAACCTAGTATTGATTAGCTAGGCTCAATTAAATTAAATTCATGTAATTAGGCCTGATCTGCCAGAAATCTGATTACCCCGGAATCAATCCCTGTTCCCTTCGTCGTTAATTAAGAAGAACCCAAATCTTTACTTTTATTCGCTCATTCGCATTAGTTTAATTTCAATTCAACCAATCAATCTCGCACGACGCATTTATTTTATTTTATTTCTTTTTAATCGCTGAATTTAGTTAATCTTTAATTCCCTTTTGTCCGTCCCTGTGGAGACGATACTCGTACTTTCAACACTATTCTACAATCTTTTTAAGTGCGAGAAAACTCACATCATAAGCTTACCACTCTTTCCCTTAAAATGGAATTTAATTTAAGTAAGATATGAGTTATAGGTATTCTAGTGAGGTGGTAAGGTAGTGTGATTATATGTCTTCTATTTTTTTTTAAAAGACATCACTTGATTATTACCCACTTTTGTCGCCACCTCTGATGGTTAGACGTGGCTGGCTAGAAAACTTATAAATAGGACTCCTTCTCAGACATAATCATTCTTTCTTTTTAATAGTTGTAGAATATAAGTCTGTTTAATACTAACTCAAATATTTCTTTCTTGCTTATTTGGTGTATTTATAACCTCATTTGCTTGCCTTTTACTCCTAACTGTAAATTGTCAATATTTTCCTCTCTAAATATGATTTGAATATTGTGATGTCAAGAAAAGTTACTTCTTCGACTATGATAGTACAACACAGAAACCATTCCAACCAGAAGAAAATAAAATGCAGATCCTTTCTCTTTATTTCCTTTCATCACGGGTTAAGGAACCAAAGAAGAAAATTGCAGATTTTTAATTGAAAGTCTCTTTTTGATAGTTTTGTTTTCATTTTCTGCTATTTTTATTGTTAATAAACAAAAACAGTATTTCATTTTGATCCATTTGAAGTTATATTAAAAGAATTGGATATGTAATTCAATAAAAGGTAAGAGTGCTTTTGGTTAGAGAGGTAAGGGAGATGATAGTCCTGAGTAACAAAAAGATGGTACCACTTTCCCCTTTGATTCATCGTTTCCTTGAACAATCAGATCAACAGTTGGTTAGCAAACCATTATATATATGTTCAGTTCAGGAGACATAGTTTTCTCTTACTATAACTTAATTTATTTTCCAATTTTTTCGCTTATATTATACATACTTACTGATAGAATTGGTTCATTTTTTGCAGCAGCACGAGATTAACAATTCTGGTCATTTTTTGGAGCGGTTCTTTTATCTTTCCCTTTTTGTTTTACTAGTATACAAGTCTTATTGTTTTACTATCTGCGCCAAATAGAGAAAGCTATATGAAAAATCTGAACTACCTCACTCTCCTTCTAAAGTACTCTACTGATCAGCTAAGCATTGAACCTACTTTTAGAGATTCAGTTCTAGTGAATCCACACTTTTTCCAATATATCAAAGAAATTACTGCAATGCATGATCCACAATGACTATTGAACCTCCATTTTCTCAAAGGTCAGGTAATGTTTCCTATTGAAAGCATGACTGGTATGCTTCTCATACAATGAGTAATCGGGTTAGGTTTTAATTTTATGGTGTTTATTAGTTTCAATGGTGTTTATTAATTTATATTATTGCTTCAGATATTGATGTTGAAGATGTCAAAAGATTCTGTGCTATGCATATATGATTGATCTATCTATCTTGAAGAACATGAGGTTGGCCTAATTGAAACTCAGTCCTTGAAGTCTACGCCTAGCTATAGAGTGTGATGTACGAGGCATCTTTACTTCTAAGTTGCAAGTCGTATTCTCACATCAAATCATGTAATACATCATTTATTGAAGGGCGGATTAAGGAGAGTGTGACCTTTATAAATGCTCCATTACAATTTGTAATGGAGAAGATCACAATAATTCTTGAGACAAACATGCACAATCTAATTCCAAGTTCTATCATTAACTATTATATAAAATCCAAGCAAAAAGGTTTGGAAAATAAATTAAAGTTATTGTAGAAGAAAACCTTACCTCCTGAACAAAGCATATAGTAGTTTACTAACCAATTGTAAATGTGATTGTTCAAATAAAAGATAAATCAAAGAGGAAAATAGTATCATTTTCTCTAATCAAAAGCACTTCTATTATTTGTTGAATTACATATCCATGTTCTTTTAACATAACTTCTAGTGGATCAAAATGAGGACAACCTTGAAACTTATATGTTGTTTTACATTTTATCCATTGTGCTAATCAAGTTATGCAAGAAAAACTAACATTGACATGTCAATTAATTCCCAACATCTTCACATTGCTCCGCTTCCAATGGGGGGATAAAGTTTTCTACTAACTCCGTCCCACACAGCTTTGTCAGGTTGATCGATGTTGGGTGTGAGATTAGAATAGTAAAAATTGTGTGGATAAAGTTTATGCTAAGGAGAGTGAAATGAATAGAGTCACAAATTCATTGTTTTAAAAATAAGTTCTAAAGGGTTTTGAGACAAACAAAAAATAGGAAAGTTAGCAAAGTCCAATGGAATAGGGGAGAATAAGATTTCTACTCGGACAATTGGGCGTCCAAAAACATTACCAAATATGTAAATTACGGGTTTTATTTAAATGGAAAATTAGTTGCTTTATTCTAAACTAATTAATATCTATGCTCACTAGTCATTATTAATCCTATTAGTTTTACTTATAAATTATTTTGAATAAGGTTTTCTCTAATATATTCCCTTTGAAAAATTCCCACCTTGAATGTAACAACTCATATAAAGCTTTTGGAGGGACTCATGCATATAAAGCTTTTTCGTGTGGCACTAAATTGTAGTTTTTTGGTTAGGTTGACCATCTACATTCCGGGAAAACTATCATTTTGAGTGGAAAACCTATTAGACACAGGACACGATTTGCAAAAAAATAAGGAAAATTTGAAAATAATAATCTCAATTATTATCTGTCTGCTGTTAATGATTCCAACTATCAAATATTTATGAGCGATCCAACTATTGGGATCACTTTTCAAAACTAGTCCATAACCGACTACGACCTGATATAGCAGGTCATTTAAAAGAGAACTAAGCGTAAGCTATAAATAATATATTTTTAATGTACTTTTTGACCATTCTAAAAATATTTTCAATAAAATTTCATTTTTTTTCCAGTTGTGTTACTAATTTATGATTTTGTGCTATTTTTCTTTATTCAAATTTACAATTTTTTCCAAAAAGTATAAGTTGACTAAAAAATTAGGATTTGGAAATTTTTTCTAGCTCTTTCATAAAAAATGTTTTATCAAATATTTTATGCTATCTTAATTTAAAAATCTAAATTTTCATTTTCCATGTGAGTATTTTTTAATTTCTATCTACTTTCTCTAGTTTATATTATTATATTCTAGAAATTATATGATATAGCTTATTGTTTAATCTTTAAGATTTGGGGTATAGGTTTTGGAGGGTTTGGCTATAATTAATGAAAAGGTATTAATATTACAACTATAAGAGATATAATGGAAATTGTAAAAAATCTTGAAATATTGTAAATAGCTTTAAATAAAGATTGAGATTATTATTCTCACTTTTTTCAATGAGTAAGAATATGTATAAGTCTGTATTTAAAAAGATTACATAACTAGAAAATGCTCCAATTAAAATAACAACCGCAATATGTATAAGAATAAATGTCCAATATAATTTTGAGGGTTATTGGCGGTGCATCAAATGAATTACAAATAACTCTTCCCTTTTCATGGGTTCTCGGACCTTACTTTGGGCGGACCCTGCATACGTATATACGACACCAACAAAACATAATAAGTAGAGTCAATCCAACACCAAATGGAAGCACAACGACAAGTAAAAAATGTTTGAGGTTAAATTTGGTTTTCTTGCCAGTGTAACTCTCTGAAGAGTGATCCACTGAATGAAAAAGCGGTGGCTGTTGCTCGGGATTCATGGGGGGTCCACAGAGCAAAGAATTATTGGCAAATGAAGAAGGAGGAAAGCGTGCTGAGAGAGATGAGTGGATGGAGCCAGTGAGGCGGTTGTTGCTGAGATTCAAGTGCTTCAGCTTTGGAATGTTTTTGATGGTGAGGTCCGCCGGTATAGCTCCAGTGAGGCGGTTGTTCTCCAGGTACAGGGTTTCCAGAGCGTCCAGTCTTCCGATCGTCTTCTCCGGTATTGCGCCTCGGACTCCATAACCACCCAGATTCACTCCAACTACTCGCTGCCGCTGCCGCCGGCGACTTCCGTCTGAAGTGCTGCTGCAGTGCACTCCGACCCACGACTTGCAAATTGGGGGCTTTGGGCTCCACCCCATCGGTCCCCGGGGTCCTGCCCCGGTGATGGCAATATTCTTAGCAAAGTTCAGCAGGGCTTTTCTGTCCCCTCCCAGATCGGAAGATGGAACCGCTCCTTGGAGTAGTTGAAGATGGAAGAAGATGATGATGACGACGGGAATAAACGCCATTTTTGTTTATTCCACGCCTGGGATTAGTTCGGTTCTGGTTAAAATTCGATGGAACCGTATAAAAACCGTAAAAGTTAAATTCTTACTACTTGCTGCAGCTGATGCCGGCGACTTCCGTCTGAAGTGCTGCTGCAGTGCATTCCTAACTTTTTATTATTGTTCATATGAGACCAATGTTGTATATATAAACAAATCTATTAGTTTGTTCAGTTTATTATCATTTTTTACCATGCTCACTATTAATTGGAGTGATATCCTAGACTAAAACAGCACAAAGTCTAGTGCAAAGAATAAAACGATAATAAAAGTGATGGAGTTTGTGCAGTTCCATTCTAAGTTATCACTCCTGATTAATTGTGTGCACCGTAAAAAACAATCCTCAATTCAAAATTTTAATGTAATTATTTTTTATTTTTTTTATATATGCAATATTGGTGTCATATGAAATGTAATAAAAATTTATAGATTTTGATATATTTTTTGTAACAATCAGAGTACAAATAAAAAAAGTATAACACTTTAAAATTATTGATATTTTTGAAAGTGTTAAATTATTTTTATATTTTTATATATCCAATATTGGTATATATGAAAGGTAATAAAAAAATATAACACTTTATTACTATTTTTACAGTAATAATTTAAAAGTTATTACACTTTAAAAAAATATAACACTTTATAACACACTATGAATTATGATATACTTTTCAGAACAATCAAAGCACAAATTTAAAAGTTACAACACTTTAAAATAAACATGAGATTTTAATTTGGTGGAGCACTCAATCATTTTCTCCCTTCGAATTATTTTGTTACGTTCATTTTTCCCCTATTGATATTACGTAGGATTCCATCATAGCTAACTCCTTTGCTTAGAAGATGATACGTGACGATACTTTCCTTAATTGTAACCTTGAATTATACTCCCTCCGTCCCCTTTTAAATGTTTCATTTTACCATATTGGAATGTCCCTATTTAATTGTCCCATACCTTATTTGGTAAAGCTTGTGTGGTTCAAAATCATTCTTACTTTATTCTTACTTTATTCTTACTTTATCTATTAATATCAACCACACAAACCTACTTTTCTTAAAATTCGTGTCACCCTCTTCCGGGACATTTAAAAGGGGACGGAGGGAGTATTATATATATATATATATAGATTAGAGTAATTCATTCAGGATAATACTTCACTTTAATATAACTATTAAATTGTTAATTTAGCACAAATTTTTAGAACTATACATTGATAGATATTAAATGTTAAATGTTCACTTTGAAAACAGAGTAATAAGTAGCTAGAATTATGAATTTAATTATTTGATAGAGGGGTATTATGCAAAGTAACTATCTATTTTTTAGTTTTTTTGTCAATTTTAAATAATCAAAGTACATAAATATCATTATATTTCTTTCTTGTTTTTCCTATGTTTTCGCTTTGATTTTCTAATGTTTTCATTTTTTATTTTATAATATTCACCAACACAATTTAATTCCGAAATCCATGAAAACCCTAATGGAGCAAGTTCAAATATATAAGTAGGATGAAATGAAATATTAGATCAGAGTAGGGCAGTAGGATAGTTAATATATACTATCCTCCGTTCTTTACTAGTTGCAATAGTTTGACTTACACGTTTACCAATACACGATTTTGACTGTAATTATATTTAATAATGTATTAGTAAAAATTATTTTAAAAATTCACATTAATAGAAATTTAATAACATTTTGTACATAATAATTTGGTTATATGTATTAGTAGACAATCGTGGGCAAAGTAAGGTGTGTGAATAGTGTAAAAAACACGATATTGCAAATATTAAGGAACAAAGGAAGTACACCATAATTAATGGATATTATCCCTATGTATATGATATGATGAACCTAACCATAGGTTGCTAACAAAAAATGAAACATAGAACATCAATCAATACAATGTTCTCATTTGTATTTAGGAGCAAAAACGTTTTGAAATTCCTAAATAGGAGTATCATGTTTTTTATTAACTGAATAGGGGTAATCTGCCAAGTTTGGAAAAAATTGCCATGTTTAAAGCCTAGCAATGTCAAATTTGGCAGAAATTTACTCATATTCAAGGAATAAAAACATGATAGTCCTATTTTGGAATTTCAAAACTTTTTTACTCCTATTTAGAGAATTCTCTCTATTTAGTAATACTCCCTCCGTCCCTAAAAATTCTTCTCATGTTAGTTTGGATCGGACTTTAAGAAAGTGAGAATAAATGTTAGCCACACAATAGTTTCCAGAAAAGGAAATGAGAATTTTTTTTAAGACATGCCAAAAAGATAAATGAGAAGAATTTTCAAAGATAGGAAGAAGTAGAATTTTGGTATGTATATTGAATACCGTTTGAATTGGTCCTGGCACAAGTGAGCATAAATTAAAAGGACTTACCAATGTACATAGGTGGGAAGCGGTAAAAGTCTCTCCACAGCTAAAAGCTAAAGGACGAGTTTAATCCTTCAATTCCTAATTGAACAGCGATAGCTTGTTGAGATGAATGTATAGAAAAAAAAAACGTACCATAGAGTGTATATATATGGAGCATTGCAGCCCCTGACCTTTTGGGAATCATAATATATTATTCAAATAAGATAATGAATGAAATAATGAAAAGCATCTAATATACCCTACTTATTGTTACATTTAGTTTCTCTATCGCTAACTTCCCTCTATTCCTTTATTCTTCCCTCTATTTGTTGAAAGACAAGTATCTTTTTCAGCCCTAGATCACAACTACAAAAAAATTACGGGATTAGCACATATTTGACACAAATATATTTCAAATCTTTGTCAGATACAAACAAATCAGATTAAACCAGACTCAAATGGATATAGGCAAACTTTGACCTACAGTTGTGAAATACACATGGACCCTGTCTGGTTCCGATCTCAAACTAATCAACCCTGGGGGGCATGAACCGAGATTGGCATGGGTCATTCCGGTTTCGATCGACCGGTCCCGGTTCTGGGGCGGTCCTTGTCATTTTCTAAATCTCTAAATATACTATAAATGTAAGTATGCATGCATCATATACAATTGAAACAATTTATTAGAGTTAAATAAATCGAATTAAAACAACTAATATTTCATTTGCCAGCCTAGCGGTTATATTATTTGAGTTTCGAATTCAAAATGTAAGATCTGTTGTGAAATGAAGAAGATGAAGACTAGATTTATGAAATAGATATATTAATAATAATCTCTAAATTAATTCTTCTTAATCTGAAATTTTCTAAATTGATATAAAAGAGTTCATCAAGCCCCTATTTATAGGAATAGAGTTCTACAAAATTTTGCTGGCACATGTAAATCAAGCCATGTGTCTATCTATGATTACAAGGACTAGAAGTAGATGAGTGGCTTGGTTACAAGGATTAGAACTAAAACAATCTGAACGAATGTGGTATAATCGTCTCAGTGAATACCTTATCAAAGAAGGATATAAGAATGATCGAATTAGTCCATGTGTTTTCATTCGGCGATCAAACTTGAGATTTGTCATAATTGCTGTATATGTTGATGATTTAAACATCATTGGAACTCCTGGTGAAATTGAAAATACTGCAAAATATCTTATGAAAGAATTTGAAATAAAAGATCTCGGGAGAACCAACTTTTGTCTCGGACTTCAAATTGAGCATTTGAAGAATAGAATTTTCATCCATCAATCCAATTACACCGAGAAAATTTTGAACTGGTTCTACACGGAAAAAGCTCATCCGTTGACTTCGCCAATGGTGATTCGACTCTCAACACACATGATGATCCACTCCGTCCCCGAGAAGACAACGAAGAAATACTCGGTCCCGAAGTACCGTATCTGAGTGCTATTGGAGCTTTAATGTATTTAGCTGATAATACTAGACCAGATAATACATTTTCTGTAAATTTATTGACTAGGTACAACTGATGTCCAACGAGGCGTCATTGGAACGGGATCAAGCACATATTCTGTTATCTCCGTGTGGTACAGTTGATCTCGGCCTATTCTACCACAAGGATGCAAAAGCCACTTTAATCGGATGTGCATATGCCGGATACTTATCAGATCCTCAAAGTGCAAAATCACAAACCGGGTACGTATTTACTTATGGTAACATCGCAATCTCGTGGAGATCTATGAAACAGACATTGACAGCTACATCATCAAATCATTCTGAGTTAATTGCACTAAATGAAACCGGAAGAGAATGTGTGTGGCTGCGATCTATGATTCAACACATCCAAAACGAATTCAGTATGAAGCCTATTACTTTTCATCTCTGTTCTAAAAATCATTCTAGGCGCCCGACTAGTCCCCGCCTAGGCACTAGGCGGTGGTCGGGCGCCCCAATTTTCGTCTAGGCGCTCCGACTAATTGGTTTTCCGTCTAGGTGATTTATTTGGCCTTCTATGACGCCTAGTTGTCCGCCTAGAACGCCTAATCGGTCGCTTAGGTCGTCTAAATTCGCCGAACATTACTTTACTTTTCAATTTTAATTTTCTAAGCGATATACGTGCTTTAACTTTAGCCATGGATATGAAGAAATGAAGTTATAAATTAAGATAAAACTATATATGTTTGTATATATACCTAAATTTTATCATAATTTATATTTATAACATAATGAAGTTAATGATTAGTTATCATATGCTATGTATGATTAAATGTGATAATTCTTTCATTCATGTTTGTTAATGTATATGTGTGTATGCATTTTATTCACACAAAAATACAATATTACTTATCATATCTATGCAAAGATATAGATAAAAATGCAATTTCTATGTCTCCAACTAGTCCCCGTCTAGCCACCCGCCTAGCCGCCTAGGCGCTGGGCTAGTGCCCGACTAGCGCTTAGCGCCTTTTAGAACATTGCTTTTCACCTTGATCTACGAAGACAATACTGTGTTCATAGCTCAGATTAAAGAATGCTACATCAAAGGAGACAAAACAAAACACATATCACCAAAGTTGGAGAAAGAATGGAAGATCAACATTCAACAAATCAGATCCAGTGAAAATCCACCGATCTCTTCACCAAGTCATTGCCTCCAAAGTAGTTTGCAAAACTTATACAGAAAATAGGCATGCGTCGCCGGTAAAACTTATGCTGAATTCAGGACGAGTATTTGAATGAATTGCACTCTTTTTTCCTTCATCGGGTTCTTATTCCACTGGGTTTATTCTGATAAGGTTTTTAACGAGACAGTACATCCAAATACAATGACATTATAAGTCGTAATCATTACCCCTTCACTTTCACACTGACTTCTCACAATAAATTTTAATTTAACATACAAATACATATTCAAGGATGAACATTCGAGGGGGGTGTTGTAAAATGACCAAATTGACAAGTGTGAATTGTTCATCCTTGTAATCAGGACACCTAGCTAGTTCTAATCCTTGTAACCAAGCCACTCATCTACTTCTAGTCCTTGTAATCATAGATAGACATATGA